CCCAAATAAATTTGTTTCATTAACATAAGGGTGTATCTGCTTCCAGAAATAATATTCAAACACCATTTACATTAACCATAGAAATGACTTAGGAACATTCACTCCTTTGGAAAGGCTGCAGAAAACTGGAGTAAATTATTACTGGAGAACACCACACCCCTCACTCTTCTCAGAAAAAGCTTCTGACAACTGCCTTAACCTCCCATTTTCATTCAACACACACTGATGGACAGTGAGTCAACCTGGAAATTCTCCAAGAAAAGGCAAGAGGTCAACCTTAAAATGTTTGGGTTTTTTTTACTACCTGTTCTGAAGGATAACCACATCAGACACCAACAGGAACATTCTGACATTTCCTACTGTGTTCCTACAAATGGGCCACACTTACACCCCATAAAGCAGCTTGAAATGAAATTTGCACATTCTCTGTTTGTATTTCTGTGGAAGAAAAACATTCAGTTACAGAAACAAAACATAGCCAAGTTTTCCTCTTGCATTTCCTCATATCCAAAACTAACACTGGAGAATTTCACACTCCAACAGCAAGACTGGATATTGCACAAGGAGTTCAAGAGATGTTTATGAAGTTTTTAACAATCTTATTTTTCCATGTTTCTGACTACTGGAGCTGAAGATGCACTGCTGGAGTAGCTTCCTGAATGAGGAGTTTAAAATTCAATTATGTGAGAAACAGTATTTTGGTGTTATGAAACAGCCATATGGAAAAGCAGTCTCTGTTGAACAAGTTCTTGCACTGCCTATCTTTCTGCTCTGTGTTTAACCTCAGTGCCAAACTTTTAACAAAGATCCAGTCTTCTGGACTGAAGATTCCTTGCATGATTTTACATTTACAGTTCATTCTTTCTCAGAGAGTGCACCAGAGGGTATCTTCCACTATATTATGGGCCTCTTTACTATGAATTTTTGCTCAATGCCCTACTTTTATTCTGCAAACTCATCTTCATATCCACCTTTTTGTATTTTACAAACATTTAATCAATTCTTCATCAAACAATATGCAATTCCCAGATATTCAAGCAGCTTCTTTTCCATTCATGAAATAGTCAGTTTTTACTCCCATGTTTGATTTTCAAGCACCTTCAAATCTTTGATGTTTCCCTACCAATGGATGCTCCTGTTTTACCTTACACATAATTAAATTGGTAAGAAAAAAAAAAAGGAAAAAAAACCCAAAAAACTCTCTGCACTACATAGGTTACTAAGCAAGCTGAAATGAAGCCTGAACATTTTTCAAAAGGAAAATAATTTTAGCCTACTTATGGTTGTGATTGCATTCTCTGTCGAGCAGCACATCTAGCACTGCAAAACCCCCACACTTCAGGAATATGAAGGTAATCTGCTCAGTCCCAAACCAGTATGATTAACCAGCTCTTCCTACAGACCTACTGACACACCAAGGCTACAGAAACACACCCAGTTCTCAGGGAGGTATTAACTTTACAATTACTGTGTGGTTTAGACCTCTCTATTGCAACCAATATTTTAGGTAACAAGCACCTCTGGGTAAAATGTTTTATATACATATATATGCACATTCATTTTCCTGTAATCTCTAAAAAATTTAGACAACAGTCTTGGATATTCTGTCAAGAACTGAATTCCTGACTTCCACTTAGCTTCCTAATCTTACATTGTGAATCACTTTCTAGCCTAGTTCAAGGCATTTTTAGTGTCTGTACATAAACTCATTTACTCTGTTATTCTAATAAAATTCTTTCAATAAAAACATCCTACTGAACAATCTGGAAGAAGTAACAATGAATTCCAACTTTTCAAGGTTGTACACAATATATAAAAATTTCGACACATTTTTTAACACCTTGGATCAGACTATGCCATACCAGTCACAGACCTGAGAATTTTATAATATTCTTTTCATAGTGGAAGTTAATTTTAAAAGATTATCATTTTAGAACAAGCAAAGAAAACGAACAATATCAGAAAAATTCATAATCATAATATTAAAGGATGCTTACTTTAACAAGGAACAATAAAAATGAGTTTTAGGCTCTCCCTACTTTTGAACAATCTGAAAAATGAAAAATATCTGATTTTTAATAACTGTACATTTAAACTGACTCTTAGAGTCATACAGATGCTTGCATGGCAACAGGGAATTATCAAGAAGGAAGGCTTCTGGGGGAAACAAGCCTTCAGAGGTCAGCTTTGTACCTTTTTATTGCACCAGCTTTAAAAATATCAAAGTTTGACATGGTCTACTGGCTTGGGTGTTACATGTAGAGAAGTTATGCCTGCCTCTCTTCCATGTTAAGCATGTTATCTTTCCAGAGAGAAAACGTGAGAGAGGTCTTTATTTTATCTAGACTGCATCAACTCATCTATTCCTTTTACAGCTGTAAAAGAAAGTTACTTTGATTACTAAAACTGCATACAAAATAAGAATATTGGAGCTTTTTTTTCAAGCCAGGTAATTATGTGATTAAAAAGTTCAAATAATTGTTTTAAGTCCTGAAACTGGCTGCTTTTTACAATACAAGATTTATGAACCAACAAATCCTGGGCTACATACTATCCTTCTCTTTACACAAATAGTTCTCTATTTTTCTTAGACAATTTATATCTATTAGTATCTATAATACATCTGTTATTTTAGAGCTACTATTAAGAACAAACACATTCATCCATTTCCTGAAATTAACAGGAGGAAAGCCTTTGTTGAATAAAGTGCAAGCCCATGCAAAACAAAACTAACAGTCCCCCAAAAATCAAACCAATAGGCCAAAAAGAACCCCAACAAATACCTTACATAAAAAAACCCCAAACCAACCAAAAAAAAAAAATCACACCTAACATGATCCCAACCGTGTAAGGAAGAATCCATTCTCTTCCCCTAAATTACTTCCTTCATGGATGCTGAGCTGAAAGTGACTGCTAAATAAACGTCTGAACATTCAGCTTTCCAGATTGGTATTAAATTATTCTTAGCAATACTATTTTATACTAAAACAATGGGTTTTATTTTTAAAGAAAGTCTTTAACAACATGAAAGCATGACATTTAGGCATTTGATGATTAAATAGATTTAAATTTGAAGCATTAACCTAAATATCCTAGAGCATTTCTAATAACTTCACTGAGCTGCCATAATTTCTGTCAGCATATGTAGTACTGAATGACTAATAAAATACCTGAATTGAAACTATTCCAGTCTAGCAGTTTGTATGATCTTGTGTTACCCATTATTCCGACAAAGGCTGAGTTCAAAACAGCAAATTAGTAGATCAGTTATAGAAGCAGAATAGTGAAAAAAAACTACCAACAAGAACACAATTGACAACACCACTCCACAGGAACTGGAAAGACACAGACAGCAGAGTTAATAAGAGGCTGGAATAGAAAGGGAAAAAGGAGCATGCTATAGCAATCTAGCACTCGGTGACCAAAGTGGACAGTATATGGCAATTTTGTCTTATTGGCAAGTTCTTAATCCACCTTCAAATGTTCTCTCCTCTTCCATGTTTTCCTGATTTATTAATTTACCAGTTTATTTGCTTCCTTTAATATTTTACAGACTTATTTGACTCAAATGCTTCACAATCATAACTATATCAGAATTTTTTTCTACTTCTCCACCTTCCCTCCCACAGCCATGTACCTTGTTCCCCCTTTTGTCCCCACTATTTTGCAGTACGCGTTCCAAGGATCATGCATTTTACATTCACTTGTCAGGAGCAATCTGCAAGTCTCACAGAAACACTGCAGCTGTGAAAACATGTATCTCTATCTTGCCTTATGTCTTATATTGCTTCCAGTCAGCTGGTAAAAATGGAGTAAATAATGCAAGAAATGAGTTTTTAAAACTTCAGAGAAAAATTGTGGGTTTTTTTCTATTCTGTCTTACATTATCACACAGTAAATTTTGCATATAAGAGATCTGTATCAAAAATCTGCTGAAAATACAGAATCCTAAAATAACTTGGTAGCAAAGAAAGATTCACATATTAATTATACTTTGGCATTTCTTTCAATATTCTCTTCACTGTGTAAATACATCTTAGAATAGGAAGACAGAAGATTAACACTGTGTACTAATATACTTGAAAAAAATCCCTTAAAGTAGGAGGATCTAATTCAAATTAAGTCTTAGATTTAATTTTATGTTGCTAGTTTACTGAATCTTTAGATCAGCAACAATCTGATCTACCTGCCTGGAGAATTGCTTGCCTTGGGCCATAGGAAGAAAATGAACAGATAAGTTTTTTGTACTTGTTTTTAAGGATGTATTTGCATAAATTTCCTTTTATTACTCCTGACTAGTGCATGCAAAACCACTACAGGTGCTATTTTTACTCTCCTCTGCATTTTTAAGTGAACTGTCAACTCCAACTTTTTGCAAAGCATTCCTCCTCTGGTCTCAGTGACTAAACCAACCAAGTCTTCAGAGTCAAAAGTCACTCAGTTCTAACATTAGAACTAGGACATGCAAAACACACATGTTCTCGTACTGGGGTTCCAAGGAAAATAATATATAAAAGTGTTGAAGTATTGTTCAGTGAAGTTTTTAAGAACAGAAACAAAGCTGTAAAGTTAAAAACCATGCTGTGAGCTAAACTGTAGCCATTAGTCCTTAAGGATTTCAAGGAGCTGAAAATGGGAAAACATTCAGAGTTAAGACCAAGCATTTAATCTCGTTTTTGTTTGAATGGAAAACTTGCATCAAGTTTTAATCACAAAAAGTGGTAAAAAAAATTAATTAACCCTTCAATAATTCAAAGGTAGTTTTCAGTGTAAAAGTTACTGATTCAAAATATTTTTTATTAGTACTTTAATTAGCTGAAATGTTTCTCACTAAAAACGTAACCTTTGCATAACTTGTTTTTCAAGCTTAAATGATTATCTGAAATACATTGCTTTTGACATACATTGTTAGACTAGATCTGCATCTATTCAAGCACTGATATGTTATAAAAGTTAGATGACAGGCCTTGTGCAAAGAAGTCATTCCCATGATGACATACCAGGATTGTGGATGCGATCCAGGAGCTTCACTGAGCGAGCACTGACAACACCCCCAACATGGACTAGAAAGCCTGGTGGGAAGGTCGTCAAGGTAAAAAATGGGAATTCCTGTTATGATTAAAAACAAACATTAAATGACTGCTTACCAACCATTGCTGAGTGCCTGTTAACATGCAATGAACTGATCATCTCCCTGAAATACAAGCAAAGCAGTTACACTGGGCCAGACGTGTCCTTCAGGCTCACTGAGCACTTCAGAACCACGTGTCCTCATGGACCCATTGTATCAGAAAAGCAGAGGTTTTACACAGTGAAAGAATACTTTTCCCCCACAGAGTTTTTTTCTCAGCACAACAGTGATAAATAATCAAATCTTTCCATATTTAGAGGTTAACAAAACCCCTACTGATCCACTTTTACCATGGCTGCTAAATACCAGAATTATTCTTTCATTAGCTGATTAAAAAACAAATGTTTTTCTCCATTTTTAGGTGTTCTTGTTACAATAGACTGCAGTTTGATTCTGAAGCACAGGGTGAAACAAACTGTAGTCTTGTAAGAATAAGGAGTGTCTTAATACAGGAAAACATACCAAAAAAAATCAAAGGACTGCTCTGCTCATAAGCTCTATATAAAATATGACAAGTAAATATCCATCTTTTAAAATAAAGCATAGGTCTTGAAACACAACTGGAAGTTCTTTAACTAAGGTAATTAATTTCCAGTTTGTAAGTAAATTAAGAGTTTAAGTTTCAGCAACTACTCCAGCTTTTAATTCATAAAAGAGGCAAAGTAAGTAATAATGGTAATTTTTCAAGACACATATGATGAAATAAAAGTAATATTCAAAGAAGTTGAGCCCAAAACCAGATTTTAGTTTCTCCAGAGATGTTCTGCAATATGTCTAATATATACATAATAACACACTTATGGGGGAAAGGCAATAACTCATGTTCAGCAATTCTAAATGCAGAAAGCAAAAAAAAAAAAAAAAAGAGAAATCATGCAATCATGTTTTGTATAATTGTAACTGATTAAATGGAACAAATAAACACCATATTTTTATATGAGAGAAAGTACAGGATAGATTCCTTTCTCACATACTTGGAAACAGCACAATTCAACTGAGCTTCTACCTGAACAGCACACATGCTGCAGATTCAGTGAGGATCAGGTTCTTCCAGCAATACATGGCATGAAAAGTCATCTTAAACTAAAGCCCAATGTAGATTTAAAAATTAATACTTGAGGATTCTTACCACCCTTGTTATAGGAATTCCTAAAACTTTTAAAAGGTCCTACAAACTTCAAGTTTTCTGGATTTTCATTTGGCTTTTACATTCAAAATTAAGAGGCAAACTTCGAAATCAGCAACCATAGTATCAATAACCAGAAGAAAAACAATCCCAAAACCCAAACCCTCCAGTTTTACATTAATGCAATTAGAAAGTAGGAAGATTTCACCCCAGGATTCTGCAAACCTGTTTGACTGATGAGTCTTCAGGAGCAGCAATGGATTCTAGAGAGGTACACAGTAAAAATTCCCCCAGAAGGTTCTAACAGATTGCAAAGTGCTTTGCAAGTTATCAGAACAGTCAAAATACTCACTTTCCCAGGACTGCAGAAATCAATAAAGAAGTTTTTTGAATGTGTCACCTATATGAAATTCCATTAAGCCTATACTACATTTACATTTTATATATATATATACACACACTCACATTTACACTGTGCTGAAGCAGTATGGAGTGAACAAAGTAAATAATACTCTGGGCTCTAAAGCTTAAGCAAATCCAATGTTTTTTAATCTAGATGGAAATTCAGAAGTTTTTCTACTTTCTGTTCCTTTCCATAAGGCTGTGTACTACAAGTAATTTTAACATGTTCAGACTTCCAGTTTGCCTGATTCCCTACACTAGAAACCAGGAATAAAACCTCAAATAAGAACATCTTGTAATAAATATAATAATGTATGATTATATAGAACATAATTATATATTATTTATGAGTATAATATATATATAATACATCAATACTGCCAAGCCTGTATTATGATACATTATCAAATAAGGTGTTCTGTCAGTTAACTAGAGCCACAGACAAATCTGCATAACAGACTCACTGAACCATTCTGACACAATTCTATTAACAATCTGACATTCATTCTGACACTGATGGAACTCCATCATTTCATATGAGGACTATTTTTTTTTATCTAATTTAGAGGTTTTTTTAATTTTATTATTATATTACTCAAATACAACTTCCAGCCCTCAATTACATGTTGTCAACTGTAATAGTTCAAAATTATAAATCTACAGTTATTTCAGGGAAAACAGAAATTTCAGGGAAAACCAGATGCAGTTCCCTTATTATAAATCACCTCTATTATTAATCCCCTCTATTACTGTAATTTGCAAAGGACTCCTTTACATCAAGTTGGTGCAACCACAAAATATTTCAGTACATGACAAACCAGGATGATTTCCAAGCTACAAGTGAAGATGGTCAATCATTTTACCTCGACCAATTCACAATTCCACTTCACAGTCATTGATTGCATAGACCATGAAAGTACTGTCCCTTTAATACTCACCACTACACTGAGATTTTATAGTTGGTGTTTGGGGGAAGTGTGATAAGGTTACAATCAAATCCACAAATAATACAATGTTTAAAAATGTGTATACACATACATGTATTGCTAGTGGTCTTTTTTAAGTGCATTTCATTCAAAGACACAAAATAATGAAGCAGGACATGGAACAAGGCTACACACACCCCCTTCCTGTAAGTGCCAGCTGAAGCAGTTCTCTGATTCCTTTCCAGCCTCTCTCATTCCCATCATTGAATCACTCCCTCAGGTAATGCTCAGGTGTGCTCACAGAGCATTTGGGGCTAAACCAGAGCAAGAAACTGGTCCACATTAAGATATTGCTCATTTCCTGGTTAATTATTTTTATTCTAAGCATATTTACTGTGCCATGTCATGAGGTAGCCAAACAACCTTAGAATTTTTCTTGATCTGAACTGAGAGGATGGGTGGATAAGAAGTCACTGGAAAGAAAAGATGCTTAAGTGAGGATTTCAGCAAAACAAATCTCCCAGAGAACTGCACTCTAACACAACAGATTTCCTGCAATGCCCTTCAGAGGTGAAGGCCAACAGATCCCCATTCTAAAAAGGCAGCAGCAAAGAGCTCTTGACCACTTGCAGAATGCAAAAACAGGAAGAAAACAGAATTTGTCCAAGTGGAAGTGAGAGACATGAAATACCACTGAGAGCAGCTTTTGGCCATTTCTACAAAAACACGGGCTAATTTTTTAGGAGTAAGATACCTCAAATTTTCCTACTGATAGAAATACAGCTCATATTTTTTTAGTTAAAAATATACAGAAAGCTGTGCTACAGTTACTCCTGCTATCTACATATGTCCAGGGAATTGCTAACAGTTATTAATGTACAATGTAACAATGTAACATGTAGATGAGTTTTCCACAGCTGTACTTTCTACAGATTTATTTTCAGGGAAGAAATTAAGGAATATTCCCTTCTAACAAATTCTGTTCAATTTGTAGTTAGGGCTATTTAAGTTATACACCAAAACCATATTTGGTTAAAAAAAGCTGTTGAGACATGCAACTAAATGAAATTATTCTAAGGTACCTTAGCATTACCATGTACCTGAATAATCTAAGACGCAAAAGAACTATTTGAGCAACCTGCTCTTGTGGAATGTGTCCCTGCCTATGGCAGGCTGGCTGGAATAAGATGATCATTAAGGTTCCTTAAACTCAGAGTATTCTGGGATTTTAAGATATATCTAATACATGTGAAACTATATTATATATAGTGAATTTATTCTTGGTTTTCCCAAATACTTGCTATCCTAAGTAATCCAGATGAGTGCACTGTTTATGTGTGTAATATTAAAACACACAAAATAACTTATAGATGTTATTCATTCCAGTTAACTCAACTTAAAGGTAACACCAGAACAAAAATACATCCAATATTAAATTTTTAGAATACAGAAAGAACATATTTTTTATAGATTAACTGTCCACATGCTTTGCTGCTACATCATAATCGTCATCAATAACAGACTCAACGTGTCTCCATCCAATTTTACAGAATTTTTTTTCTACTAGACAATACACAGACTGTATCAAAATAATGTGCAAATAATTCAAGCTCTAAAAATACATTAAGAACTCTTAATTTACATTTTTACTGTCTTTAAAAAGCTTCCTAAGGAAATAAAAAGATCAGCCATGGAATGTCTGAAATGCTAGCAGAATCAAAGCTAAACAGAAAAAAGGCTTGTTTTAAAGCATTCCTTCAGCCAAATTAAAAAATTAAAAGCAAAAAGCCATGGTTTTGTATTCATACCTAAACTAAAATTTTAACTGAAATATATCAACATGCAAAATACACCCATCTAAAAAAATGCTCTTAAAACAACAAATAAAAAAATTTCTGCATGAACAAAATTACAAAGGAATTTGCAAAGCCTCACCAAAAAAATATATATATTTCAGATAATGCTTTTGAAATCCCCAGTACAAGAAGAAAGGGCTAGAAAGAGTCACACAGTGTTTTTCAACATACCCGCCTTCTACAGAACCTATGGGGCGATCCTCCCTTAGCCATGGATAACACAAGAAATGAAAAGAGAATCATCCACTTACTCAAAATAGCAGATGGGCACTTACTTTTCACAGATGCAAGTGAATTTGTTCCTGTGACTGAAATATATGCTCCTATGTGACTAGTTTAGGTAGTCAGAAATTGCAATTAAATTTATTTCTGAGTAGGAATATACTCACATTTCTTCCTTCAAGACACCTCATTATCAACATTTTGATCAAAACAGTATATAATTTATAAAAAAGATTTGCAATCTTATTTATTTGCAACTCATTCCAAATGTAAACAATTAATTAAAAATACTATTTTCATCATATAGTCTATTCAGTATAATGAAAGATGGTATTTTTAGTCCTACAGAGGAAAAGTTTAAATTTATAAATGTCTTTTACTGCTTGGCAAGCAGTTCAGGTTCAAATTCCCAATTAAATGCTACCCTCTACTCCATGAAATGGGGTACAAGGTATGAATTCAATTCCCAAAAACTGAAACTTCCCCATTCCAAAGGGGATTTTCAACTTGTTTAAAGCTTTGCCAATGTTTCTGAATGTGGCTTCTGTAAAAACTTTATCATCATGCGTTTAATATTTAACTTAACATGCATCAGTACCTTACAGAGACCACACAACAGTAATTTCTCCTACAACTTCTTAATACCATCGGAATTACTTTAGTGCTGCGCACAGTTAATTGCTCCACTTTTCCTAATGCTTTAGTAATATATTAATATTTAAATAATTTGTGTATAAAAGAGCTATGAAACAGTCAACACTTGTAGTAAGTTCAGACCTAAAATTACACATTTTCAAACAGAAAGTAACAGCAAACATTTAACTTACTACAAGATAAATTTAAACTTCAGTAGACCAGAAATGGAAGTATAAAATGCCTTACCCTTTGTTCCAGAGCTGACTGAGTCTGTTGTCTTAAAAGAGTTTTAAATGGCCCCCCTTCTTTTCCAGCACTCCCACTGCCCATTCCTGAAGAGTATCAGTACAAATGACATCCAAAGAAACATATATTATAATTTGTAATCAAAGGGTGATTTCAAAATAGATAAAAATTAGTCATTGAAAACAACCAAATTTTCCCCGTAATTTTAATTTTTAAGATTAAAAAAAAAAAAAAATTGAAATTTTGATTTGAGAGTTGTTCTAGGTTTTTCTTTTCACATAGTGAATTCACTAGCTGTGATTTTATAGTATTTGGACAAACCCCCCAGTCTAAGATTTTTTTCCTGCTGCCAATCTGAATTAAAATCAACTTTAAAATATAAAAACGTAAAGATGTGGCTTTAAAATTCTTTCCTATGATATATAACTTTTATTTTCCTGTTATGACTTTTTGCCTATGATTTAAATACAGATCTACTTTTCACAAAGTTTTTACATAACCAGATTATCTGCCCTTATCTGAAAGTTCCTCTGTCAGATGACACTATAGTTGTGTATCTCTCACTAATATTACTCCATATTTTTATTTAACAAAAGTAATAAAAATCTGGTTTTCAGAGTTTCAGGTAACTAAACCACCTTCCTAACTACTAGTAGGAGACTTTACACACAATTACAGCAGCAGTTACATAATGCATGATTAGGAACAAGAAAATACAAAGGCAATGCATATCCTTTGATTTGAAATATAAACTCTGAAAAAAATTACAAATTATTTTAAATGACAAAAATATTAATCTGATTTATTAAAATAAGCTAAGGGCTAGTACAGCTCAACATTTAAAACTACACTTGATTATTGTATTTGCACACACATAAACTGCAGATTAACTGTAAACAAACATGAGATAAACTCCAATTTTGTGTAATGTGATAATTCTCTCTTTCCTTCTTTCATATTTTTACCTCCAGCCTCACCCCCTAACCACAGAAGATTTTGTGCAAAGAAAGTTTATCAGATTCACTAATATCTTTGCTGTTGAATTATTTGCTGTCAAGGACGTGTCCCCTTAATAGAGCGTGTTGAGATGCAGTTTATGTGTCTGACAGTAAATGATGGGCTCTGTGGTTAAAAACCACTGAAGTAAACACATACCAAGATTGTGTTTTTCCTAAAGTAAACACAATGCTAGCGAATCAGATTTTCTTGATATGTCATGCCTAAAAGCACATTATCATTGCTGTTCCTTACATCTAAAGCCACCAGGGCTAACATGACAAAGTAAAAAAATAAGCCCCCCAAGTAGTAGAGAAAAGCAGGGCATACAGAACAAAAAGGTGTCAGGAGCAAGATGAAGTACAAACACCACAGCGCAAACAGTTAGAAATGAAGCCAAGATTTTCTTTTCCAGAATTTGTAACTAATTCAACATAGTAATTCCTTGCTACTTTCCTTTTTCTTCTGATCAAGCATCTGATAAAGATGAACAAGACTGTAAATACACATCAAAGTGCAGTTATTGGTTTTAACCATAGACCAGGAGATCTAGAAATGTAAATTCATTCCTAAATTCATTCATTCATTTTCAAGAGTTACTAAGCTACCATTACCATGTAATTAGATGTAAAACCACTACAATTTTCAACAAGTATTTTTAGCTGTTCTTGGATAAGGAAACAAAAATATTAGTATCTGTATAGTCCCATTAAACAAGATTAAATTGCTTTTACTATTTAGCATTGATTCTACACATCACTGTCAGGGACTATACAATATTAAATACAGACAAACATAGCATAAGTACTACACATGAAACAAACTCAAAAAACTCAAACTAACCAAAAGAGTTTCTACAAAAAAAGCACAATTACATCAACTATTTAATTGAAATTTATGAAAATAATCCATGACAGTGAAATGAAAAAGTGGGCAGTAAAAATAAAAAACATGGGCTTTGTTTAGAAGTTTAAATTAAAAAGCAGAGTCGGTAGCATCTGATAACCATTATTTCAGCAAATTATGAATGAATTCAAGAGCAAGTGCAATCTGCATCTGCTCCATGCAAAATGCAGGAAAAGTGAAGAGAATGTGTGGGATTACAAATACAGTAAATTATTTCAGTCCAATTATGAAAGGATATTTTTCAAGGGTAAAGAAGAAATTCTGTAGCATAAATGACATTGTTTCAAATCCTCTAAGAAGTTCTGAAGGTGTTTCAAGCTTCTGGGGCAGAGGTGAGAGATGAAATGAGTAGTCATGTAGCCAGCAGTTTTCAGAGGCTAACTGAGCAAACCAGGGTTACAGAAGCATCTGTGTGTTAATCAAACAACAACATTTCCTTAAAAGGTTGTTTAGAAGGCCATAATAGATAGATCCTACCAGAAGCAGCCAGAAGCAGCTCTTCAGTGAAAGAAACACTTTTCCTCAGAACAACTGGGCTGACATGGCTAGAGTGTAGAGGTTTAATGCTAGACCCCGAGAGGAGGAGACAGGACTTTTTAAGATGTGGGGAATCACAAGAGAGTGTAGGGGAGCTGGGAAACAGGAAAATCCTAGGTCCCTGTGGGGAAGGTGCTGTGGAGGAAAGTAATAGAGACAAAGATGTAGATTCAGAAGATGACTAAAGAAACGGACAAAAGAAATCAAAATGAAGCATTTTTGTTTTCTCTAAATGAATCAACACTTACTGCAAATTATTTCTTGGCATACAAAGAAATGGAATGACAATACAGCTCTACAACATGCATGAGAAGCATGTTTTTAAAAATCATGACTTGATTAACGTAATTTTGGAATTAATTTTTTAGAGACATGGTAATTTAACATTTTAAATGTCAAACAAAATTTGATAGCAAATAATATGGAGTAAAACCCAAACAACAGAATCTTTGCACACATTTAATCTGATTACTTTCATTATCTCAGTAGAAAAGGTTATTTTCCAAACAGGTCATAGATCTGTTTTATGATTTTCTAGAGTAATAAATCTTGTAGAATTTTAAGTTCCCACCAAGAAAAGGAGTTCCCACCTTCTCCATTTCCTCCAAACATATGCTATGGCAAATCAGAATGTATTATCTGATTAAAAGACATCATGCTTTTTGTCAGCCTGATTCTGTTCATTTGCAGTGGCATAAAATATATCCCTACTCCCAGAATCCTAACTTCAAACCCAGACTCAGCAAATGTATTTATAGATCAGAAGGCATAACACAAGCACAATTGCATTTCACAGAAGACATCAAGGTAATATTCTCCAGATTTAGAGCTATTGAAAATTAGATGCTTAAGCAGATCCAAGTTTCTACCTCTCCAGTGTTTTGTTACTAATTCTGGGAAATTTTGTTATCTGCACTGTTTCTCCAGGTTAATCTCCATCTCAGACATATCAGCACACTGCCTACCTGACTGACAAATAGAGAATATGATATACTGCAGAAGTAGCAGAAAATACTTTTTTTTTCACATCAGCCAATCTGAGTAATAAGCATCTCCAATTTGATGATGTTTGATAAGATTCATAAGAAGTCTGCATTTCTTTAACTTTAACTACTGAGATCACTAACTTACACACTGAGATATCTGAACTTGGTAACAGCCTTGGGAAATGAAAATAGAGGTCTAAACATATACAGTAATTGTTCAGAACAACATACTGAATTCTCAAATCTAACTTAGCAAATCCTCTTTGGACAAGTTTCAGCAGAGTTAAAAGATGCCAAAAAGACAATGCTAATAAGCAAAACTATGCCCACAGTTTGCTTTAATAGTAGAAAGATAGCTAAAAAATATACATACTTGAAAAATTCCTACAAATAAGAGGCACCAATTACATCATCTGTTTCAGTTCTGAAGCAACTGACTGAAGACAACAGGGTTTATCCACCTACCTAATATTGCCAGGAAATACATTAGGCTGCTGCTTTAAAACCTTAACACATATAAGTTGCCACATGCCTAAATTCACAACACTTACACCTATAAAGACGGCCATCTATGTTACATTTAAACCCTTTACCTGAAATGATCTCTACCATGGAAAATCTGATCAAAAGACACAGGTTTTCAAATATTAAGTACACCAAACACATGAATTTGGGGTGCTCCTAAGTAATATCTGTAGGCCCTTTAAATGAGTGACCACCATAGGTTACCCACAGGACAAACATCCTTTAAAAAGGACAAAAAAATAAAGTGTGGTTTTTTTTGTTTGTTTGTTTTAAAAATGGGACAGAGAAGACAGGACTAAGAAAGCCAGCTTCCTAATTGGGAATATTTTTAACATATTAAAATATAAAATATATATAAAAATATTATTGTCATCTAGGGAATAAACTGCATGGAATATTTAATACAACTCCATTTGAATGCAATATTCAATTTATCTGCTACGAAAAATTCTTGAAAGGGATGCTATTAAGTAAAGCTGAATCAACTACTTTAATATGCTTAAAAATTGTTTAACTAGATGGAGCCAAGAATGTTTTGAACTTCAAATACCACAATTTAAAACATCACATAAAAACTAACCAAACTTCGATAAACAATTCTACAAAATACTTTGCCCTATGGTAGCAAAATTCACATTAGTCATATAATGAAAAATAAACATACAATTATTCTTTAAGTTGTGCTGACATTATTACTGACATGATTCTAACCACAGATTAAAAAATAAGGAGGGAGGAAAAAACAAGTTGAATGGAGAAAGAAAAATGCTTTTCGAAGATGCCTGGATTACTTCTAATGTAATTTAAGTTACTTTGAAAGTACTGTACACATATACTGTGTATGTAAAGCTATTTCCATATACGAAGAGAATAAAAAGACAGGGGTTGCTATATTTCTAGTCTTGAATTTGCAAAAGGGAGTTCAAAATTAGATAAATGTATGCAGTAAACTTAGGGCACAACACAGTAGGCTTGAAGGCTACATAGTTTTAGTAACACCATCCTTAACATATTGTGGTGAGAAATACACTCCTATGATCTGTGATATGAAATGGAGGAAATAAGAAAAAGGCAGTTACTTAGGACTCCCTTAATGCTCTGAGATGTTTTATTTTGATTTGAATACAGTTGCAGTACAAAAGTAATTTTCATGTTATCCAGAACAGTGGAAATACAGGCAGGATTGAAATTTTGAAGAAACCCTTTTGAGCTTGAGGTGCGCTGTGTGAGGTCTCCAATTTTCACATCATTTTGATAACTTAAATGCCAAAATGCAAAAAGGGATTGAATGAAAATACAAAAAGAGAAACACAACTTAAACAAAAAGTGGGCGGAAGTGCCTTACCAGTTTTGGGTGTCAAACTCAAATCTGTGTCAGAAGAAGAGGACTGTCGACTGTAGGACTTGGAAGGTGAAAAGGAATAGGTTTGGTTTTTCAGAGGGGTGGAGGGTCCTGATGAATATGTATTGGGATTGGGATCTTCATTGAAAGGAATCCTGCCAGAAGAAGGTGGAAACATATTCAGTAATCCTGTGCCAAAGGACCTGGCTGACAGCAGCATGATCCAAACACCAGGATGGGACTGGGGCAGGGCCAGCAGCTATTCCTTAGGTACGAGGCTGGGAATGAGGCCAGAGGCAAAGAAATGCTGTTTTACCCTCTCAGCATCCTACAGAGAGATGCTCATCATCTACAATGAAACAATTAAGCCAAATGAAAGGCATGAGATGTCACAAAAAAATTATATATATATATATATATATATATGCAAAATAAAAAAAAATTGAAAAGTTTATGGCTTAAAAATCTGGTCAAATACACAATGCTTTGAGTTAGTTTAATAAAGAAAAATGATTTCAAATTATAGTTGTGTTTATACATATTTATACACTTATGTATACACACATATGCATTTTAAGGTAAAAAAAAAAAGATATGTTTCCTTATCCTATAGCATCAGCAGCATGCCACAGCTAAAAACAAAGCAAAGAGGAGAATCTTGATGGGAACAACTCTATTGACAGTTTACTTATGCACAGCTTGACTTACCTGCTCTCTAAAACCATCTCTTCCACAAATGGCACAGACCCTTCCTAGAACCATTTTAAAACCTACTGTATCTGAATTACGCTTGAAAGCAATTATGAGCTCAAATCAATGTTTCCCAGTTACATCACCTTATTTTTTTACTTAATTTCACAGGAAGCAAGAGTATGTTAAAGTGAAGAGCGTGGCTTTGTGGAAGAGACTCCGAGGCATCTCCAAGGAACTATTCTGCATTTGTTTGAGCTGTTGCACCCTGGGTGCTTCTTCCCTGACAACAGAAGGTGTGTCCATGAGGAAATGAGGGAAGAGAGATGGGTGGCACCTGCCTACACTGCCTGCCTGCCTGCTATTTGGGACCACTGTGCCTGTGGGCTGCCTCTCCCCAACTTTGGAGTGTGAGCAGTCTCGTACCAGTGTAGATGAGAGTGGGAACAGACACAGAGAAGTTCTGAGTAAGTCGTGAGCCAGTAGCAGTGTGAATTGGGCTGTTGTGAGTCGAGCGGCATCCATGGCTTGGCGGATGAACCAGCGGAGACCTGAGAGAGTTTGCAGCCAAGGCGGAAGAAAAGAAAACAATATATACAAACAGGTTGCAAAGTTATGTTATCAATGATTTTAGGGAAGTTTAGCTAGAGGAGATCTCTTACTCTAAGCAGACTCTAAGAATTTCAATTCCTAGCATGCAAGAGTCCAGATGAAATAAAAGGAGGGAAAGGAACAGCTTAAGCACTTGCTTGTGACTGCATAATTGATTTTTGGCAAAAGGCCGTCAAGTTAGTAAAGTCAAGAATAAGAAGAATCAAATTAGTTGATTTTGTTGCCTTAGAGACACATCCCCATTTTTTTAACTGAGACAATATCCATCACCAAGTTGAACATGGATAATTTGGGAGGTGGAATTTCCACATTTTGCTTCAGAGTGAAAGCCACGGGTTTATTTAGGGGTGCTTTTTAAGTTGATATTTACTAGGTCTACCTTTTTTGTTTGCAAACACCATGCTGTTTTTCCTATGCTGCACTGTATCCAGAAATTCTTTTAAAGGCAATTTTTTAAAACCCAGACAAGTCAAACAAGCTATGCCATGAAATAGGCACAAGTAGTTTTTAAAAGTCAGTTCATATTTTGCAAAATTCTGCAGAGCAATTGATGCCCACACAACAAAATTGCCTCATCTCTATTGCAGTGACACAACAGTTCGAAGTTAATGAAAATGGCTACTTCAATTAATACATCTAGAAATACAGGATATGTAATACACTTCTTGGTGCAGTTTTTTCCTTCCTGGATTTCTCTACCAAACAACAAATAACTAATTTATCCACACAAAAGAGTAGCAACAGTTGGAAGAAGACTAAAAGTATATTTCTATTAATTTGTATGCATATAAAAATATTGCATTAAAACTGTTTGGTGCTGCAGTACATATGACAAAAATCACAAAATTCTGCTTCTCAATGTAAAAAGATTTCTCTGCAAGCTCACTGTCTACCTGTTTTGCCATGGTCCTACTTGTTTTACCACAGTAAAAAGCAAAGCACACAATAAAAGATGAGACCTCTTTTGGGTCATTGTCTAAATCATTGACAGAACCATCATAATTCAAAATTAATCTTCTCTTATATGCTCATAAAAATTTAAATTTGAACCAAAGCTATCTGATCAAAGCACAAAAGGACCTGCACAGGAGGTCCTCACAAAAATGTTCATTGCACAAACACAGCATCAAAGCAGAACTAATTATAGTTGAACTGGCGGGTCACAAACCAAGGGTATGTAGTACTATTGCTACACAAATACAAGGAAAGTCAGCTTAAGTAAGAATTATCACTCCAGCTTCTACTGAAATAACAAGTCATCCAACCTAAAACATTTCAGAATTGTGGAATATAAAACTGGGTTGCAGACAAAACTACAAAAGAAAAACAAATTCTGGGGAAAAAAAGAAATCACACCAGTTATGGAAAACTGAATGAGTATGAAAAGAATAGAGGTGAAACTTGTTTCCCTACAAGCTACTAATTCATACTTACTCCTTCATTTCTTTGGATGGGGAGTTACATGCAGGTAAAAATGCTGATGTGTTACTTAATTTATCCAACGTGCAGGCTGTTCCTATGGCTCTCACTACAAGTCCAGACTCTCCCTCCAAATCAAAACACTGCAAATAACCAACAACAGCATTTCCTCTCATTTCAAGCACCTTCAAGCCGATCTTCCTTTGCAATTCACCTACAAAACAAAAGGGAAAGAGCTCATAGTTGCTGTGAACTTCTATTCTCTTTTGTGGTCTTTGACCTCTGGTTTTGGAGCGCCAACCGTGCCAGAGGAACAGGTAATAAATCCAATCCTACAAAGCTAGGCCAGGGAGCCAGTCACAACTTCTGTCTCCTATAACATTGTGTGATGTCGACCAATGACGTACACAGCTTTTTGCTTTTTTCTCCAAATCCATTCTGATTGTCAAAACATGTCATTTCAGAGGGTTTTTTCCCCACCAGTCTTTATTTTCAGTAGGCTTTCTTTTTCCTTTTTTCTACTTATTCAAAGAGAAAGAGAAGTCAATATGTGTTCTGGAACTCCTAAGTTTCTAAATACTTCATATAGTTCAAAACAACGCAACGTCTTTGAAATCCATATGAACAGGCATCTATAATTTCTTCATTTACCAATTTCAACTTCATTCCTACTTTTTGCCCCTGTACTGCAAACCAAACACTACTATTAACTGCACACAAGGACTGAAAGACTGTGACTGTAAGAACTGGTCTGCCATCAATGCTTTTTTTAGGAGGGCATCATAAAAAAATTAATTGTTCTATGTAGCTGGATTGCTTTGGTAATAACTAAGGTGGAAAACATCATCTCTTTTCTTATGAAAATGAAAGATTTCCAAAATCCTCTGTTAACAAACTGAAAAATCCTCACTGTCACAAGGATGGCCTAACAGTCCTAATGCTGCTGAGAAATCAAGAAGAACGAGATGGTCCCAGAATCACAGACTTTCCTGAGTTGGAAGGGACCCACAAGGATCATCTAAGTCCAACTCCCAGCTCTCGTTTCTACTGTTTTCTTGAAGTTTGACTCTAAAATTACCAGCACAGGTTACTATTGCAAACTTCTTAATTGCAACCATGTCTGTACCAGTCTTGAAAAAACTCTAAGGTTGAAATAGAGTATGAAAGCTTCTTTTTAACATGACAAGGATCTTTGAAACAGCCTGGCTCACTCTCAGAAGTTACAGATTTCTTCAAGATTCTTTATGTGTGACCACCTGTAACAGTATTGCAGTATCACACATTTTATTACATGAGATGAAACCATATTGCTGTGAGTTCTTTTGGGTTTTTATCCTCCTATCATGCCATGAATAAAATCCAGCAGAATACTTTTTCTGTCTGCACTATTTATGCACAGCAAGAAATAAGCAAATGTGTATTCTGTAAACTAGTATGAGGACTATATTAAAAAAATCTTCATGTTAGTTATGACAACAGTTTATTTCACTTTTTCCCTCACAGTGTGCTGGCCTTCCCAATTAATGTACATCTCCACAGTCTTTTATGTTGCCTCACTTACTGAAAATCTCAAGGACACCTTCCACTAGACCAGGTTGCTCAGAGCCCCATCCACCCTGGCCTTGAATTCCTCTAGGGATAGGACAACCACAGCTTTTCTGGGCAACTTATGCCAGGGCCTCACCACCCTCACAGGGAAGAATTTCTTCCCAATATTCAATCTAAATATACTCTCTGTCAGTTTTAAGCCATTCCCCTTGTCCTATCACTCCAGGCCCTTGCAAATAGTCCCTCTCCATCTTTCTTGTAGCTCCTTTCAGGCACTGCAGGCACTGGAAGGCCACCAAGGTCACTCCAAAGCCTTCTCTTCTCTAGGCTGAATAATCCCAATTCTCCAATTCCTTCCTCTCAGGAGATGCTTGAGAAACAATGAACGAAGCTTGACTTCAAAGAAACAGGATGAGGAACATAATTATTTATGCACATTGTATCTGGAATTGTGTGTATTTGTTCACATACTTCAAAAAGTTCAAAGAGGGTGAAGTTTATTACTTTAATTATTTGAGTCAAAATTCTAGTGATACTCCTTAAATGGGTTAAGAACATCTTCAAAAAAGTTTCAGAGGTTTCTTTGACCTTCCTTAAAAGCAACCAAAAAATTACACAGCAGCATGGCCTCACCAAGAAGTGGAAAAAAAAAAATCAGTCACACTGTCCATCAGTTAGTAATATATAATCCTCAGAAACAGAAGACACTGTGAACTGAAAAAAATCAACATAATTAACAACAAAACTCATATGCAATCTTAAGCAACTTATTAAAGAACTTATTTAAATCCTGAACATTTTCAGAAGTAGCAATAACCACTACAGCCCACATGTGTAATACCTGACATAAGTGAAATGAGTCTTTGTCGAGCCTCATTCGATGCCCTGGGAGTACGGATCCTGTCTATCCACTGGTACTCTGGGTCCTCATTAACTACAAGCTCCTCCACAAATCCGTGAATAATTACTGCTCTGTAACACTTAGGAATAGATGTAGCTGTTAAAAAATATATACATAAAAGATGTAAGAGGTCTAGGATACAAGGATAGCAATAAAAACATAAAATTACATATAAAAATGATTTCAGAAAGTTTCCCAGACAATTTTCAGTGAAAATTGAAAATTGAAATTGAAAATGAAATTGAAATGAAATTGAAAAAATTGAAAATGAAAAAATACCCAGGAGGTTTTGCCCATGAGATCATGGAACCCTGATAACTGTCCAGCACACCAGTTACACCACGTACCACTATGAAACCTTTTCATTTGGCGCCTCTTTAAAAGGATATGGACCCAAAATAACACCACATGTGTATGCACAGGCACTTATGCACTATGCAGCTTATGGACATTATAAATACCATCAGTTATTTACACTGTTCTGAAACATGAACAGTAAAAATGTATCAAAAATGAAAAGCAATTTGTGTCAACGTTATCTCCACTAGCTTTATGCAATGAGCTGGTAAGACAAGGGAGACCAACAGAAGAGGCAAAGAAAGGAAAGGAGGGAAAAAGTTTTTTGTTCAAGTAAACGTTTTTCCTCTACTTACTGCAAAAAAATTTGACTCCACAGGATGACTGCCTAAATCTGTTTAAATCATTGAAGAGATCTACTTTCACCACCACGTTGATCTCCCCACGTATACCTATCGATAAAAAAAACATGAAATACCAGAAGTTTTAACAACATAACTGTATCAATACAAAAGCAGATCTAAAAATTATTTCCTATTATCAGTTATTAATGCCAGAGGAGCAAGAAGCCATATCCTTGCCTCTCAGTTCTGTTGCAGAGACACTGACTCAGAGGAAGTTTCTAGTTCTGCCAAGCCTTTGAGGCTGAAGCAATGACTCCTCAAATGCCTATTTGCACTAAACGGAACTTTATAAGAAAGATGGGACTGAGGAAAGAGAAGCCATCAGCCTCTTGATGCTGCAGTGGCCTCTGCTGCAGGGAGCTCTCTCTGCTGAATTTCCTCCCTGAAACGATTTCAAAATTGCAGTAAAGCCCCTCTCTGAAGTTCAATCCAAGTAGAAAGATTTATGGTTCTTTCTAGAACCACAAAGTGGCACAGGAAGTGTTTCCAAAATACTTTAACTGTGACAAGAAATATATAAAAAAATAAGGTATTACAGACCTTTTAGACAAAGCTTAATTTTCAACTATGATTAAACCTTACTAGAAATGGAATATTTTCTAACACATAAGCATTCCTTTTTGATTTCTATACTTTCCTATTCTGAGCTTTTTCTTCTTTTTCTCCACCCAGTAACAAAATCATTTCACATACTATAGGTTCTGACATATTGAGCACTAAACTTCTTGGTGAGTCTGATCTCTAGCATCTTCAGAAGCCTTTATCACATCAGTTTATGACAATGAAATGGCAGCATTGGATTTGTTGCTCAGTTTAGATATTACTGCAATAAAATCAGCCACATCTCCCTTCCAAAATGCCAACAGAAAGAAGCCTTCAGTTATTATAACAGAAAATGCCTCAGGCATTTCAAATAACATATTTTCACAAAAAATCAGGTTGAGGTGAAAGAAAAAAAAATTAATACAAACTTCTGAACATTGTATTTATTATTTTTTAAGGAAGCATCAATTAATGTTTGCCAAGGGTCAAGACAATTGGAATCTAGTGCTATGAGCATGAAAATATAAGAAATTAAATTTTACTTAAATAGAAAAAAGCTGTGAAATACCAACATATCTGGAAAATATAGAGAAATCTAATGCTCTCTAATCCACCAGTTGTACACAACCTGAAACAAGTGTTTGCATAATTTAGTTCCAGAAAAAAATGTGATAGGAGTATGTGCATAGGGATAAAAAGGCAATTAATAAAACATATGCAATATTTCTCAATATTTTCTGTTTGCTATAACTGGTTTAAATGCAAAAAATACTTGGCATCAGTTATGATGAGCACCAGGTGAACACTAGCAATTATTTTATAACACTGATTTATAATCAGCTTTTAACATTGTTAGGTCATTTAATTCACCCTGAATAATGAACAAGGGGGATGATGGCAGCCACAGAGATGGTCTGCTCTGAGGTATTCAAGCAGCAAGTCAGTTGCTCTATCTAAGTTGATATTGGCTCTCTGAGACAAAAGCTGTTTCATTAAAATCAAAAGCAAAAATATCATTAACTTTATTTTCTCATACCTTCGAGACCTTCTTTTCTGATGAAATCCACCTAGCACTGAGAGCACTTACTGCACTGAAAAGGAATTTCATCCTGTTGAAGATATCTCACATCCTGTCCCTTCATCCCAATCAAAGTTCATCCCAAATCCCAGGAAGGCACACTTCAACTAACTCCAGCAAAATTACACTTATTTAACAAACACGTGGTAATTGGACAAATATGTCTGAGTATTTTTTTTTTTTTAATCTGAAATTTGCAGTAAGTAGTGAAGATTTTTTTCCACTTGTCACAAGTCCTATGGAAGGCGTTCTGCCAAGCACTGGCCTTTACTCCTATGCCAGAAATTTTTTCATGTCAGAAAATAAGAGAAAAAAAAGCCAGGAATGTAGTTTTCCAACTCCAAAGCTAAAGTTATTACAAATTTCTGAAGACAGCTTACAAGATTATAAGAAGCAGATTACATTTCAAACAAGACTGTTTTAAATTAGCAAATCTTACCATGAATGGTATCATAAATTGGAAACCATCCTGAAATAACTGTGGCTGCTTCACTATAGAGCAGAGGATCAATATCTATGTACACTTTGCCAATTGCATCATTGGCACTGTATGTATCATGATCAAGAACTGTGATCTGGAGAGGCTCGTCTTGGAGCTCTTCATCATCTACCTGGAAAACAAATATTAACACGGAATCTGAATATTTAAATGTGCAGGGAAACACTGCTGAAAAACAAACGCAGAAGAGAGTTAGTTATGAACAGTGACCTGACACAGATAAATCAGTTATTTCAGTTTCCTGAAGCTAAACAACACATTCACTCAATTTGATTTTATCCTTCAGAGACTGGTGAGATCCTGGAAACAGAGCTATCACTGGGAGAAGAACCAAAAAGCAAGATTACAATGATTATTAATTTTAAAATTCCACAAAGCAGGAAGGAAGTTAGTTTAAGACAAAATACCTCAGAGGACTATTACACTCTGATGTTAAGATTATGGTGTTCTCATCTGGTCAGTGGCTTAAAAGAAGATATTTTACACAGCCTTCAGTAAAAATTCAATAGTTCTACATATCCAATTTCCTAAACAAATGCAATAATCCATCTACAGATAACAACTATTTTGTTTCAGGACTAAAACAGACATTTCACAACTTTTTGTGTTCAATATCACAACCCAAGAATTAAGTTTGCTAACTGCAATGGGATGACTCAAGAGTTTGCAGAACTGTGATATTGCCTTAGAGCATGGTAAATGAACCAGAACTACACATTCAAGTGTTTCGATAATTAATTTCATCTAAACATAATCCTCATTTTTTAAGTAGTAAAGAAATGTAGTAAGAGAAAAGAAGCATGTAAACACTTGTTCAGGACATAATATCAGACATCAACAAATTAGATCCTGGAAAGCAACAAGCAATTACAGGAAAATGCTGAGTGCCCTCATTATTACATAAGGAAAAGGGAAGAGAAAGTGTCCAACAATTGTTGTCCAAGCTCTCCATTTTGTAATCTTCACATAGGAATTTTCCATTTTCTCCTTTGACAAGTGCATTATCTTTGCAACCAAATGTAGGACTTCAAACATCAATTAATTTTCCTAGCTCAAAATTTTAAAAAAAAACAAAAAGAATATCTGTACTTTCATATACATGTATTTATTGATAACACATTTTTATGGATAAATGTACTGGAAAAGCCTCACCCCTGCTACATTTCCCCTACCTTCACTGCAGTATTCTCTTTTCTAATAGAACATTTAAGTTGGACTCAACCTGGCAAGCTTTTATCTTCACAAACACTCCTAAAAAGCCAATGAGACGCCCTTAGCAAACAAGGTCTGACTGAAGGTGGGTCTGCTGAAAAGGCTTCGTGCATTTAACCACAAATACACTTCAGTGCTCAAAATTCATTTTCTGCTTGAAATGCAATTATTTAATTAAGGGCAGCTAAACCAGAGTGTCTATATAGTTACAGGCAAACTCTTAAAAAATACTTACTTCAAATTTGAACCACTCAGAATTCCACTGAGGATTAAGTGATTTGGGATACACATCTGTCTTAAATGTTGTATTTCCAAATTTCACCTAAAAATACAAACATTCAATTATCAATTACATATATCAATAAAAAAATTTTGAAACTCATTTAATTGACATATGCAAATAATTTCAAATACATATTTCAACAAATAATTTTCTTTTCATTGAGTGGCTTTTAAAATCAATTTCCATATATCAGTATCCATGTATCAATGACATTTCCAATCAATTTCTCTCTCATCCTATCACACTACTAAAATTGTTTATTTTCCTTCTCAATCATTTGAGAGGTAAAAATATCACTTATACTGGCTATTCAAAGTCACTTTGCACACTCTCTTTGCCTTCTATAAGGAAAGATATTCTAAATGTTGGTAGCTTATGTTCTGTCCAGAATTTCTCAGTCAGCTTCACAGACAATTGATGAAATAAATATGAAAACAAACTGGATTTGAGATAGAGAGATGACTACTAAAAATTAAATATTTTCCATACTTTTATTGCTTACTGCACCTTCAACCACAAAATAACCCAGTTCAGCAGTACCCATATGGTCCCCACAGGCATCTATTTGATGCCCATTTGGGTTTTGTGGGGGTTTTTTGTTTGCTTTTTTAAAGTGAAACTGAAATTCTGTGATGCTCCATACATTAGGAAGCCACACAGCACCATGTAAGAGCCTTTATTTCATTGCAGCTTTCATTCCAAACCATTTGCAAACACTTGCAGTCCTCTGAATGTTGTCTCTTAAAAAAATGAGCACTTGACCTCATACCAAGTACTCATAAATACTCAAAGCTACGTTTTTAAATTTATTCAAGATTCTTAAGGAAAATAATAAGTAGGCTGACAGAAAAGAAATGCTGGAGATAGACGTGTGCAGATTTTGATAGCTTTTATCTTTTAAAAGTCTAAATGCATTTTAGAAACTAAATTTAGGCCTGGAAAACTGTGTAGTAATTATTTTAACACTTGCTCAAGACAGTATTAAGTGACCACTTTGTACATTTCAATAATAGAGTGATTATTTGGTACAGGTGCATATCCCAACTCTGAAGAGATTTTGCACCTGCTTAAGTACAATAGAATGATGTTAGCATTGGCTGTAAGGGAGCTACCAATTAAATACCAGTTCTGACTCCAGAAGTTGCCAGCATGCAACAGCTCTGAGCTCCTCCCAACTTATTCTAACGTGTTATCTTGGGAGTAAATCAGCTCCGTCAGAGCCCCAGGCATTTGTAACTGAATTTCCCCAGTGCTCCAGCTAGTTCATGGTAGCTTGTAGAGATAATAAAACACCACACTGTTGTCCACTGTGCAAAGTTAAAAGCACATTTATGGAATAAATTGTAACAAAATATTCTGAACTGGGACAAGGGTCATTGTGCTCATGCTAGTGAAGCCCAAGTTTTGCATAACCTGAGCCAAGTAAGAGCTCTTAAATCTCTTCTCATTTTCTTTCCTAGTTCTAAATTTATATTGCAATATTTAACAAGGAAATTTAAGGTTAGTAAACAAGTAGAACCTCAACATCTGCTTTTCATTTTTATTTAAGAAAAAACATATTGTAAAATTTTTCAGCAGTCTCACAGAGAAAAATAAAACAATAGTTTCAAGCTTGATTTATTTTGAAATAAATCTCACCTGCTGTACTGCCTACTACGCACATGGAAAGGGAAGTTACTTCATACTGATCCTAAGCAACAATCCTAAAAGCAAAATCCCCATCTGTGTATTTCTATACCCTTATTTGCACCAAGACACTCATGGAACTGCATGTTAACCCAGCTAAGAAAACCGATCTTGATGAAAATTTTTATTTTCCTTTTTTGCTACACTAGTATTTTACTATAGGAATTTCAAAAATCTGTTTTGCTACACTGACAGTAGGGTTGGGAACAAGTAACCCACAGAAGAGGAGAGTTGTTCCTCCCAATACAGCAAAAACAGGCCAAAATGAAACCCAGTGGACTATTTCCTAGTCCTGTTTTCCCTGTCTCCTAGTAGCAAGCATCAGAGTTGTTGTAGTCTTAAACTGGATTAACAGGCAGCCTACAAGAGAAGCTTTTGAAAATTAAAACCTGACCAGTGAAACAGCTGACAAAACAGTGAAATACTAAGTTTCAGGTAATAAAATAGAATGATGTACTATTTCAGCTCCACTGAAAAGCATCTTCCCTTTACTACCAGCTTCTCTCCCATTAAGCACTGCCCTTGGAGTTTAATGTCCACCAAATTTTTAAGCACGAAATGAAATCAGGACTTACACACCCCAAATTTACTTTTATATTAATATTATCGTATTTTTCAGTGTGCACAGGTCTGGAAAGGCATTTTGTCTTCTTACCTTAATTCCAGTATTGTGCCAGCCTTAACCACTCACTTGTGATACACCTCAATCACTATCTGTGGTACAAGACAGGTATTTTCATAGCACGTTATTTTTTAATAGCTCTGATTTTTCTAAGAGTATGATTCCTAAATCTATGGAGCGTTTCTGAAATGTTCTAAATCATCCATACTGGAAAAAACGAATCAAAAAAACATAAGGATCGTGTAACATAAATGATAAAAAGGCTTGGATTGGATGGGCCCTTAAAGTCCATCTCATTCAAACCCCTCTGCCATGGGCAGGGATGTCACCCATTGGATTACTTTACTCAAAGCCCCAACCAACCTTAAATAATTCCACTGATTTTGCACTGCAATTTATTTTACAATCCCTTCTTGAGAAAGAACATATTGCCTGTTAACTACATGACTACAAATAAGGTTGAAGTTGGATAGTCGGGGTGCAATGAAGTGATTTAAACACGCAAATAATATTTATTATTTGTTGACTAAAAGCCCCCTTTGAAAATACTTTAGTACTTCAAATGTTTTAAAAGGAAAGATGAACATTAGCCTTAAAAGTAAAGCCTGTACAACCACTCATATATTCAGCAATATAATGATTGATTTAAAGATGATTTTATTACTTCACCATTCTCTTTACGTCTGTCTAATTACAGAACCAATTAGGTTAAAAATTACCTCTGAGATCACTGAGTCCAAGCTACGACCGACCACCACCATAACAACCACATCATGGTTGTTATGGTTGAGAGACACATCCAGTCTTAAACACCTCCAGGGACGGCGACTCCACCGCCTCCCTGGCGTTCCAGTGTCTGATCCCCCTTTCTGTGAAACAGTTTCTGCTGATGTCCCACCTAATCCTGCCCGGTGCAGCTCAGGGCGCTATCCCCTCACCCTGCCGCCGGTTCCCGGGAGCAGCGAGACGCCGGACGGGCCCGGCAGGTGACTCCGCCGCGCGGGCCCGGCGCGCCCATCCCGCTCCCCCCGCCACCAACCTCCACGAAGGCGTCGGTTAGGTCGCTGGCGCGGTCCATCACCGGCAAATGGCGCCCCGCCACGATCTTGACCTTCAGCTTGCCCGGCATCTTCTTCCTCCCCTCCCCTCCTCCTCCTCTCGCGGGCTGCAGGGACAGCGCAACCGCGCCTGTGCCATGGAGCGGCGGGCGCGGCGGCTGCGCATGCGCGGGGCTCTGGCGGCCGCCCCGCCCTCGGCCCGCGGGGAGCGGGAACGGAGTTGACGGAGGAGGGAATTGTTTGGGCTGGAAGTGATCTCTGGAGATCACCCAGTCCAATTATCCTGCCAAGACAGGGTCATCCAGAGCAGGTGACATAGGAACGTGTTCAGGGGGGTTTGGACCTTCTCCAGAGAGGGAGACTGCACACCCTCCCTGGGCAGCTGTTCCAGGGCTCTGCCACCTTCAGTGTAAAGAAGTACTTCTTCATGTTGACGTTAAACTCCTTGTGTTTTACTTCATGGCCACTGCTCCTTGTCCTGAAACTGGGCACCACTGAAAAGTCTGGCACCATCCTCTTGGCACCGATTTGAGATATTTATATCTATTAATGAGATGCCCTCTCAGTCTTCTCCAGAATAAAGAGGCCCAGCTCTCACAGTCCTTTCTCATCAGTGATGCTCCAGACCTCTCATCATCTTTATTCCCCTCTGCAAGACTCTCTCCAGTATCTCCTTGTTTTTATTGCCCTGAGGAGCTCGGAACTAGACACAGCACTCCAGATTTGGCCTCACTGGGGCCGAGTAGAGGGGCAGGATCATTTCCCTTGACCTGCTGGCCACACTTCCCGATGCGCCCCAGGATACCGCTGCTCCTTCTGGCTGCCAGGACATATTACCCTCTCATGATCAGCTCGTCATCCACCAGGACTCTCAGGTCCTTCCCCGCAGAACTGCTCTCCAGCAGATCACCCCCAACCTGTGCTGGTATTTGGGGTTGTCCGTCCTTAGGTCCGGACCCCAAACCTGACCTTACTAAAGCTCCCCGGTAGCGCCCCTGCCAGGCTGCAAGATGGCGCCCATGTCCTCGGAACGCTGCTGGTACAAGTCGAGCTCCTACTCCTCGATGGGTTCCTCGATGAGGCGCTGCCAGCGCAGCCTGAGCGCCGAGTCATCGATGCCCGGGAGTTGCGGCCCTGGCTGCGGTGGGATGGGCTGGGATCGTATCCTGCATCCCGGCTTGTGTCCGGCTGGAGTAGCCTCCGGATTCTCTGCTTTCCCGGGGAAAGAGCTGGTGCACCCTCAGGATGCTCTGCCTCCCCAAGGAGGGAGTTGCTCCGATGAATACCAGGGAGCCTGGAGCACGCGTGCATCCCCAGACACTCGGGAGTGTCCTGTAAAGGGTTTAAATCCAACACCCCCTCCCCGTGGGTTTGGCTTTGTTTTCTTAGTCGAAAGACAAATATTTACAGTATTTGAAGGATTATGGATAGATTAAATGGAATTTAGTTATCAGAAATAGGATTTGATATGGTTCTTGCAGCCAGGTTCTAACTTTCTGATGCCTGAAAAAGGTCTTTGTTTAGGCAATAGCACTGTGGGAGCTTGGCAAAAAGCAAAGGAGCAGGGCCAGGAGTTGGATCAGGTGTGATCCTACATGTGGGGTTATGGAACCGGATTGTATGAGATCCTGTGGGATGTGGGCTGTGCTGCTGGTGTGGTCAGGAGCAGGAAAATAAAAGAACCCTTGTGTTTTGGTTAAGTACTTGCCAGGTGTTGAGCCAAATAGTAGATCTGCTGGGATTATTTTCCCTTCTTTCTAATCTTACAAAAAGACTAAATAATATTATGGGCTGGAATGTGATACTCCAAACAAACCATATGACTGAAATGCAGCAGTGTGTGGTGTAGGGAATTAAGGTATAGAGGATCTTTGGCTGGCTGTCCTAACGTGCAGTTAGTCCCATCAACACAGCACTTTGTCTCTTGGGCTTGCTTGGAAGTTACCCTTGGAAGAATCCATACTTTTGCTAATATTAATCATATCCAAGTAAATTATAAACAGGCTGAATGCTTGTTTTTAACTCATGCATGCATGTTTAAATGGAATACTGTAATGAGACAACAGGAAGGAACATGGAGGTGCTCGTTGACAACAGCTGAACATGAGCCAGCTGTTCCCATGTGGGCAAAAGGCCAATGGCATACTGATCTGGATCAGGAATAGTGTGGCCAGCTGGGCCAGAGCAGTGATTGTCCCCCTGTGCCTGGCAATGGTGAGGCCTCACCATAAACCTGGCATTCAGTTTGGGGCCCCTCAGAACAAGATATTGAGGGGCTGGAGTGTTTCCAGAGAAGGAAACAGGTTGGGAAGGGTCTGGAGCACAAGTCCAATGAGGAGCAGCTGAGGGAGCTGGGGGGTGTTTAACCTGGAGAACAGGAGGCTCAGGGGGTACCTTGTCACTCTCCACAATTCCCTGGCAGGAGGATGCAGCCAGGTGGGGGTCAGGCTCTGCTCCCAGGGAGCCAGGGACAGGACAAGAGGAAATGGCCTCAAACTATGCCCAGGAAGGTTCAGGTTGGGCATCAAGAATTTCTTCATGGAAAGTGTTGTCAAGCACTGGAATGGGCTGTCCGGAGTGATGGAGTCCTCATCCCTGGAGGTGTTCAAGGAATGACTGAATGTGGTGTCACACTATTGCGAAGGGCAAGAAGCACGACACAGACTCTCTTGTGAGTTGAACATGAGAGCAATGTTTATTACCTTAGATCTTCTTTTATAGACCGATACACGAAAGTACAGAAAGGTAAAACTCTTATTGGTTAGTGAACTAACACATCACCATCATTGGTCAGTGGGGTACACCACCCCTCGACCTTCTCTTGCAAGAAAACAAGAAACTGACAAACAGCACTTGCAAGGCTGTCTTCTGTCTCTGAGGATTGTTTTAATTCCTCTTTATGATTTCCCAGGCCACTTTCTCAGGCGAGACTGAGAAAGTCATGTGGCCTGCTTTTCCACAGGCACTGTGCTCCCTGCTTTTGCTCATATTTAGCATTCATAATGTGGCACTCGGTACTCTAGTTAACAAGGAGGTGATGGGTCAAAGGTTTGACTCAGTCTTGGGGGTCTTTTTCAGCCTAAATGATTCTGTGATTCTGAGATTACTCCTAACACAATTATCTTGGTTTGAAAGACAGGTGTCTGCCAAGAAAAACGGGAACCTTCCTTGGAATGGAAAATATGACCCTCTTCCCCCTGAATTATTATAACTTTAAAATTAAGGGGCTTTCAAGAAAAGATATGAGAAAAGGATTAACAGTTTTTTCCTAGTGTGCTCATGTGTAAGGAGGCAAAGAAACAACAAGAAGCAAGAACAGAAAGCCCCATAAGCAGGCTCTTTCCCCCTTGGCGCAGTTCCGGCCGCAGCCGGCAGGGGCGCTGGCGGGCCCGGGTGCTGTGCTCCCCTGGCTGCTCCAGGGGGCGCTGTGCACCACCCGCCTGTGGCAATGGCGGAACGGGCTGAGCAGCGGGAAAGGGCTGCGGCACCAACCTCGCAGCGGCTCACCCCTGGCAGCAAGAGGTGACAGAATCTTGGCAGCTGCGGCAGGAGCCGCGGGGTGTCCCGGCAGGCTGGGGGTGCGTGGTTACAGTGTAGCAAAAAAACGGATACGTGGCAAAGGAACGGCGGGGGTCTGGGCAGTGGCGGCCCAGTTCCCCAACGCAGCCGGGGAGGTTCCCCTGGAAGGGGAAGGGGTCCCGGGGCTTTCCCTGAGGTACCCGAGCAGAAGGTGAAAAGGTCCTTTTTTAGTGAGGCAGGGTGTTAATAAGGTTCCAGTGCACCGGCCGCTCCCGCAAGAAAAGCTTCACTCACGGTAGAAGAAGGCAGCAGGACACGGAACCCAGCAGTGGTGGCGAAATCTCCCCATAGAGGCCTCAGCCTGTTTCCCCCAGGAATGGCGAGGGAGGAAGAGAGCTGGGACCTGCACCCAACCTCTTTTCCCCCAGCCCAAATCTAGCGGCATCCCTGCTCCTCCAAGAGAAACCCCCAGCTCAGTTAGCAGCCAGCCGCACCCTTCCCGTGGCAACTTCTTTTGTCTCTCTTAAATATCGATTGTTATGGTTTCTTAGCGTAGCGACAGGTTGGACAAAATTCCATGAGAAAAGGAAACAAAAGGAAAAATCCTAAACCCCGACAACAGGACGCTGTGAAGAGCAAAGACCCAGGAAGGAAATCAGAAGCAGAAAACGTGCTATTAATGTTAAGGGTTTAGTTTTGACGAGAAATGAACTTTCTGAGTGGAATCTCCTGATCTCACCTGCTTAAATGTTATTTTAGTTCACATAATCAGGCGGCTATACAGCATATGAACTGAAAAGTGTAAGGTAGCAGTACAACAAATACACTGTGTTTTAGGAGGTGTTTTAGGGCATTTGGGCCGTGGCAGCAAATTAAGCCGGGATTAAATAACCCATTAGAACTGTGTGTGGTGTGGATGGTGGTAATGAGCACTACTTCACCCTAAAAACGGGGCCATTGATCCACTACACTACTTGTGAACACGAGCATTCTTAACTTCCCTGTTACAGTAAAAAACTACCAGCAGATGGGACTACAAAAACCCCCAAACATTCCCTGTTGTCCATGTTAGATACAGCATTGTTTGGCATGTTTTCATTTCTGGTGCACGGTTTTAGAGGCCAAGGTTGGGGGAATGTAAAATAAATTTTGGACTTCAAACAAGTTAAAACAACATAGAAGTAAACTTCGTCATGTATTCTTTATTTCTGACAAATCTTCTGTTTATTTGCTGCTTTTGCCAACTAGCTTCACAAATGTTGCCAAGTGAACATCTCCCATTCTCTGGGATTATGAAATACAGGGATGAATGCAATGCATATTTCTTTCTTGAAAGATTTCTGAGGATCCAGCTTTTGAATAGAAGATTCTAATAGTCAAAGGACTACAAATCAGAAATTAGAAAACACCTATTTTAGAGAGCCAGTTCCAATCTGCTTTTTAGGTTCTTGGAAAAATGAATTAGATATGATTTAATGCATTAAGAAACCTGCTTGGTGTATTAGACCTACCTTGGGGCTGAGGATTTTCTATACTGGCAGAATGAGACCTGTCTTTCCATAAATTAGCATGTTACTTCCCACATTTCCTGCCAATAGCATTCCTGTTTTCTAGGGCCAGAAA